TAAACAAAATACATCATAACTGGTCATAAATCAGTCATAAACATGACTGTCATGAGGCAAATATAATAGCATTTGTTATCACAACACACATACCGTACATCTCAAATAATGTCACTTTTGCATTTGAAATAACACAACTGAGCAAATGACATCTAATTACATTTGTCATAAGCATGCATAAAATTTCTTTCGTCTTCATGACGTGTGACAGTCTTCTAAACATCCAAGTGTTACCATGTGTCAAGTTGTCATAGCATAGACATCTCCAACAATGTCATTTATTTAGATATTTATTTTATATATAATAAATGTATTTATATATAATATATTTATTTTATATTAATGACGTGTCATCAGTGGCGTATGATTATAAAGGAATTATGACAGTCTTGATTCTAACACAAACCCACAGTGTTTAGCATATTTTTTGCAAAAGCTTCTGCTTTATATGTTGATTTTCATCTTATTCTTTTGTGATGATAAATAATAATAATTATTGCTTACAGTTATAAAGAGCTTTTCTGGACAGTCAAAGCGCTCTACACATTTTTGGGGGGAATTTCCTCATCCACCACCTGTGTGCAGTGGTGGTGAATGACGCAAGGGCAGCCATATTGTGCCAGACCACATTACACACCAACTGATTGGTAGAGAGGAGACAGAGTGATAAAGTCAATTATCATATAGAGATGGTTAGGAGGCCATGATAGACAGAAATTTGGCCCGGATGCCGGGGTTAAACACCTACTTTTTTTTTAAGGACATCCTGGAATTTTTAATGACCACAGAGAGTCAGGACCTCGATTTAACGTCCCATCTGAAAGACGGCGCTCACTGAGCAGTATAGTGTCCCCTTTTACTATACTGGGGCGTTAGGACCCAAACAGACCACAGGTTGAGCACCCCCTGCTGGTCTCACTAACACCACTTCCGGCAGCAACCTAGCTTTTCCATTTGGTCTCCCATCCAGATATTGACCGGTTGTAAACATGTGAGAGTTGCAGAGAGCTAGCTGCCGCCGTTTAAATATAGATTGTGCAAGCTTTTTTTGCAATATTACATAGAAAGGTGAGGGAAAAGCCTGCCTATTTTCTCAAAGAAATCTGATATGCATAAATGAGACCAAGTGTTAAACAGTAACATGTCTCCTTGTTATGTGAGTGACCAAAATGCTTAACCCTTTATAGAGGGTTGAAAAACACTAGAGTCTTAATAAAGGTAATTACAAGACTTTTGAACTATGACTAGTAAAAATGTAAAATATCGCAATTCAATGTAAACGAAGTTACCATATATGGTTCCTCATATGATAAAGGATTAACACCAAAATTACATGTGACTAGGGTTGCACGGTTTACCGGTACTATGGTAGTATCGTAATACTATGGCTCCAAAATACTGGCGGTACCACTATAGTTTATCAGTGTAGTATCATCATTAACGGTCTGTCTACAGTAGATAATGTTGCATGTGGAAAAGTCACTAAAATGCTCAAATGTTTGTGCAACAATGGACCATTTTATTTGAATAGCATGTGGAGCCTCTTAAGGTTGCAAATCTGTGTAAAATTCACACCTTTTATTGTAGCCTATTGCGCGTTTTCTCAGTTTGAACGCACATCTGAATCAAATCACTTCTGTTTCTGTCACTATGATTTAGTAGCTACAACAACCACAACAATCTCTTAAAAAGAACGACTCACAAAGGGAAATTTTGAATACCCGAGTCTAAAAAAAAGCAATTGATGAAAAACCCAAAAGAGCAACAGAAAGCATTAAAACAACTTTTGACCACTTCATATAGCATAATTTTGTTGGAAAAATACTCTTTTTGTAACGAATTTTGTTCTGTATAATTTGTATCTTTATTTAAATATATTTTATGTCTATTAGTTATCTACAAAGCAGTTTAGGTAAGGTGATGTGCAAATATTTTTTTTAATAATAAGGGAATTATTAATTCAATTCAAGTATGCCTATTATAACATATAAACATGCCATTTCTGACAATTACAGTATCACATGAATTACAGTATCTCAAAACTACTTGGTATCACGGTACTTCAGCTGGTATAGTATCATGACGTGAATTAATGGTATCACGGCAACCCTACATGTGACCATAGCGACTGTGTTTTACTAACTAGTCTGACTAACTGGTCCATTGCATTTATGGCCATTAGTATTGGCTGTTTTGCAAGCTGGTCACCAACATAAGGTATGTTTTGCAGGCAAGGACTAGGACGTTTGTTGCTGGATTTCTGAACTCTTGAATGGAAACTGCATTGTGGTTTGCTAATTAAACAGCTATACATCAGCTCGGCTTTGCTTGAGAACAACATTACAATTCTAGCCCACCAGTGTTATACCAGCTCTAACTCCATTTATTCATTCATTTTCTTTTCTCTTCTTAGTCCCTCAGTTAATCTAGGGTCGCCACAGCGGAATGAACCACCAACTTATCCAGCATATGTTGTACATAGCGGATGCCCTTCCAGCTGCAACCCATCACTGGGAAACATCCATACACACTCATTCACACACATACACCACGGACAATTAAGCTTAACAAATTCACCCATACCACATGTCTTTGGACTGTGGGGGAAACCGGAGCACCCGGAGGAATCCCACGCGAAAATGGGGAGAACATGCAAACTGCACTTAGAAATGCCAACTGACCCAGCCAGGGCTCGAACCAGCGACCTTCTTGCTGTGAGGCGATTGTGCTACCTACTGCGCCACCGTGCAGCCCAGCTCTAACTTTCAATGCATAAACCATCTTGGACTAACATGGAATTGAAGCTGTTTTACGTTGGATTATTAGTCTTACTGTATAATTTGGATTCAGATTTTACACAAATGTTACAGGAAAAAAAGTGATGAAAAGGGTTGCATGCAGTCAGTATTGCTAGTATTTTTTATAAATAATTATGATTAATCATATATTTAATCTCTTTTAATCTCTGGATGACATTCATTTAACCCTGGTTTTTATGTTCTTTAGTTGCATTTGTACTACGTTGAGCTTTACAGACAACAAAAACCACTCAGAACAGTTTCAAAAACCTGATTGAATATTTTGGCCCCAATAGTGTTGATTTTAAGCTCTTAAACTCAAGATAAAAATACTTGAAAGCATCGTATAAAGTGCTGCTTTCCATTTGGTGTCCAGTGTTATGATCTGTGGCACAGTTTACGTGTAAGGTCAGTGATCTGTATTTGAACTGGTTGTGCCTGAAGCTTCATCAGCATTCACGGATCAGAGCTCAGCTGATGCGTTTTTGTCTGCATGATGAAACCATACCGAGACTCCCTTTGCTTTTATTGATCCATCTGTCATGACAATACATAACCCGGATTCAATTTGCTGCTGCGCGAATAAGGAGAAATACAAATCCCAAGAAAACACAAAAAAAAGTGGGATTTGATCGTTTCTTACTCTCTTCAGTGGAGAATCTCAAAGGATAGTTTACATCTCTCTAAAAAAGCATTTAGTTTTCCACTCGTACTGTAACTTATTGATGTTTCTATGTGAAATGTTTCAGTTTAAATATAATAAAACTGGCATTAACTTTTTGAACGAATGAAAGCCACTTAGCTTTTGCAAAAGAAAGAGAAATCCATTATCTCATCCATTATGCAGTTATCATAGCAGTGTCACAAAGTGTATCGGTCGGTTGACAGTAAACTGTAAGAAAACACCAGCATCATGTCCTGAGCAAACTTGCAGAGTCCTTAAAATACCCACACGTGGGTCAGGGTGTGGAACCGGGGCGAGAGCGGGTCACCAGAATGCTGGAGAGTTTATTTGTAGATGTGGCCAGTCGACGGTTGTGTGTTTGTGTGGGAAAGCGCGTCAATTTATCAGTAGACTCTTTATTTCCCGGTCCCACGCTTTGACTGGGAAACAATGGACAGAACATAAGAGCCGCTTTTTGCTCTGGACTCTTTATAAGACGTGCTCACCCCTGCCTCAACAAAGCCTTCTGACTGAAGAAGCAATGTACCAACAATAAAGCGTCAGACTGGTGCATACAAACACACTTGCAGACTACTGCACTGTCTAAAAGGTGAAGTGTGCCATTTCTAAATTTATATTAAAGCATTTAATAGTTTTTGATAGTACAAGTAGTGTGCTATGTGCTTACAAGGTTTAGTGAAGGCTAATGTTAGAAACTTTTTCCGCCTCTTCTTTCTATTAACTATTCCTGCATTTCCCTAATACCAAATTTTTGGGAAGAAAATACAATTGTGACCCTGGAAGTTCAAAAGGGTTACATTTTTAAATAGAGATCACTTGAGGGCTGAATAAATAAGCTTTCCATTGATGATTCCATTTATTGTTAGGATATGACAATATTGGGCTGAGGAAAATAAGTTATCTGAGGGTTCAAAAAAATCTATATGCTGAGGGAATTGACTTTAAATTCGTCTATATAAAGTGCAGCTATATAAAGCATGCTATTAATCAAACATTGAGTTTTGATATATGTATTTATTTTGAGATTATATATAGATAGATAGATAGATAGATAGATAGATAGATAGATAGATAGATAGATAGATAGATAGATAGATAGATAGATAGATAGATAGATAGATAGATAGATAGATAGATAGATAGATAGATAGATAGATAGATATACACACACACACACACACACACACACATACATATATATATATGTGTGTGTGTGTGTGTGTGTGTGTGTGTGTGTGTGTGTGTGTGTGTGTGTGTGTGTGTGTGTGTGTGTGAGAAAGAGATATACAGGTATATATTTTTTTGAGTTTTGGGAAATGCTATCATTATCGTTGCTTTACTTTATTAATAAGTCTTTCTTATAAGATTAATTCATTTAAAAACTATATTATTCACATTGTAGATTCAGCGGAGTTACCTTTTCTCCAAACTCAAGGCACTGTTTGATTCAGATGTCTCTTAAGTAAACAATACAATGCAGTCCCCACAGTTTTGTGTGTGTGTGTGTTTGCACACAGGTGTATACCTCCCACCCCGCCCCACCACGGCCCTCACCTGTGTGTTGCGGTGCTTCCCTTGTGAGCCGACCTGGGCCGGCAGCCCGTTCTTGCACCGCCCGCCGACCCGGCCCATGGTCACCATGACGCGCTCCAAAACCTTCCAGGCATATCTGCCCAACTGCCACCGCACCTACAGCTGCATCCACTGCAGAGCACACCTGGCCAACCATGACGAGCTCATCTCCAAGGTGAGAGATAACCACCTGACGACAAGAGAACAGCGAGATAAAAAAACAAACATGTTTGTTTAGAGTATCACAGACGGCACGCTGTTTAATGCCATATCAGTTCTGCTCTAGATGGTCTTCAACACAGTATAGATCATGTAGTTTAAGTTTAACATGATGTGAGTGATATAAGATTAATTCTAAAAAGAATGTCTCTTTTCTTTTCTTCAGTCCTTTCAAGGAAGTCAGGGCAGAGCATATCTGTTCAACTCTGTGTGAGTAATTTTTGTGCTTTTACTAGGATGATTGATACATACATTTATGCAGCAGGGTAAAATAAATATTGAAAACTTCAGATTATTATTCACAAAACAATTTATAAAGGTGCTGTTGGTCATTCTAAGTTTGGTCAGATGACAGTAATAACTAAAGTAATCCATCAACACACAGAAAAATAACTAATTCGTTTAGAAATTAAGTTATGTGTAATAATAAATGAAAAAACACAGGGAAAAGGTATTGAACACATGAAGAATGAGAGGTTTAAAAAGTCATGGAAAGCCAAGACAGCAGCTGAAATCTCTGTAGTTATTGTCAGTGGAAATGAATATTAGCTTCTTCAGACACAACACTTATATTGCCAGATGATAAAAACAATGATCCCAAACCCAGTCAAGGAAACTCTCAACTGGTTTCAGAGAAAGAAAATAAAGCTGCTAGAATAGCCAGCCAATCACCTGACTTGAATCCAAAAAAAAAAAAAAGTAAAGATCAGAGTTGATACACAAAATCTACAGAACCATCACGATTTTTAGACTCTGTTGAAGTCTGTGTGTCCTGTCATTTTATTTCATTTCAAACAAATTAATTTAGAAGCTAATTAGTTTTGATTTATTTCTGTGTATTGATTACTTTGTTACCAACATCTGGTGAAAATGTCAAGTCAAATCAGACCCCTTATCATTGTTTAAACAGTCACTGATTGATGATTGTATGGCTAAAAAAATGTTACTAGATGATATTGATTATTGTCAAATACTCTGGCCAATCTCTAATCGATACATGTTTTTTAATCTGTTTAATGCATCTCTGGTAAATACAAGTATCAGGCACATCAAAATCTTATTAACCCTAGACTTTTAAACAGTAATGTAGTGGTCATGTTTACCTCACTTCCACCAACCTGCAGCTTCCTGTGCCTGACCGTGTATCTCTGGTCTCTTCAGGGTGAATGTGGGATGTGGTCCCGCAGAGGAGAGGGTTTTGCTTACAGGGCTCCATGCTGTGGCTGATATCTACTGCGAAAACTGCAAAACTACACTGGGCTGGAAATATGTAAGAAAACAATCCATTAATGTTTAAAATTAATGCATCTTACTGTCAATATACTTGAATGTTGTTCTTTATCAATGTACAGTAGCAAAAACAGACTAGGTGGGAGAAAGATAGAAAGAACAAAACTATCAGATATGTTTTTGTAAACTACAACTTAGTTAAACAAAAGAATATAGTTTAAAGATTGTTTGAACCAGTGTTCATTTCATTGACAAAGAAAATTTGTCATAATTTTTGTGATGAACAAGTTTCTACTGACGAAAATGAGATGAAAACGAAATAAAAATTAAATAATGATAACGGCAACTGTATTAAAAAATCTACTGACATTTTTGTTGACTAATAAAAACGATACAAGAATGTGATTGAGGGATGTTTTTTTGGAAAATAATCATAAATAATCAGAATTAATCTTGGTGTGTGATTCATGACACACACACACACACACACACACACACACACACACAAACACACACAAACATTTTGAGTAACTGGTCCACTGGTAGACGTGGGCGATTATCATGTGGATTGATTGCCGACACACAATTTTACATATTACTTATGATATAAATAAACAAGGCATATATAATTTTTGGTCTTATTTCAGCTATATGTTTATATTTATGTTTATTATGTTTATAGTTAATGTTTTATTTAATTTGAAGTTAGAATATTTTATGTAAATAAATGCACACAATATTTAATAAAATTACACTTAAACCAAATATATTTTAGTCAACTAAAACTAGAGTGGATTAAGTTGACAAAAATCTTATGAAATTTAGTAGACTAAAACTAGACCAAAACTAAAATGATTCAGAAGATTAAAATATGACTAAAACTAAAATGGAATTTTAGTCAAAAGATTAAGACTAAAACAAAATTAAAATCCGCTGTCAAAATGAACACTGGTTTAAAAACCTTTTGTCCAAACAGCAAAATCAGTTTGAACCAAAAATGCGGTTGCGTAACCTTCTGTATATTAATTCCCCCCCCCCCCCCCCTTCAATATTACTGTTTTAATAAAAGAATGCAGGTCATACAGCTTCAAAACTACATGAGGGTGTGTAAATTTCCTTTTCTAGGTGAACTATTACTTTAATAACACCCTGCACCAAATAAATAGGCTTCGTGCAGCCTCATTCCCCTGAGGAAACTGAATGTGTTTGCATGTTTATATTGACCTTACAAATCACCAGAGTCATGGACACTTTGAGATAATAGCACATTGTTAATATGCTCGGCTTTGCAGGTTTAAGCTTGTTCATAAAGACTTGTCTAAGCAGGGCACATTCCTTGCATGACGTCCATTTTTAATCAGCAGCTGTGCTGCATGCCAATTGCTTTTTTTTTAGTGCCAGTGGATTTCCGGTCGCCCTTGACAGGGAGTTTTGACCGATGCACACACCAATAAGCACACAAACAAGTATACGTTCCCATAGTGGCTCGGTTATTTATACGCACGTCAGATATTTATGTCAGTGTGAATGCAGACATTTCGGAGCTTGACCCAGTGCCCTTCTCTAGAAATCCGATGAGTCCTCCCTGCTGCTTGCAACCGTCAGCTATAAAAAGCAAAGACAAACAGAATATTAAACGCTGTGGAGAAACAGCATTCGTTTTACATTTTAATTTATTCAAAAATGACTACTCAACAATAATTTCAAAACACGTTGTCACTTTTTTTAAATTACAATACATTTTTTGAATACAAAAATATTGGGTTAGATTTAGGTCCCCTCTTTCTAAGGACAAATGTTATTTTGACATCCAATAACGACATGAATTGCCGTTAATATTTTGTTTATTTTAGGTTGTGTTGGAAAGTGAACTTAAACCAATTCCGTCACATTGACATCAAATACTGACATTTAAACGTCAGGTATGGAAACCAAAATCCAACTTGTGATAACCGTCATAATGGAAACATGCACAAATCTTCAAGCTGTAACATTATTAGACGTTGATATTTTGTTGTTTTTAGGTTGCGTTGGAAAAGTAACCAAAATGCAATGTCTGACCGAAGTTGGTTTTTTGATGTTGGCCTGACGTTGGATTCTGACGTCAACCCGATTTTCATTTCCAAACAAAATCTGATGTCAAGAACAAAGAAAGATTACAGTGGCTAAAAATTCTGAAGGTTACAGCAGTCAAACATTAGTAGGAAGTGTATAGGCCTTTGCCTTGAATGACCTGTGTATCTGTGGCCCAGATTTTGTCACCAAGGTTAACAGAGATTTTCAATAAGGTTTAAATTAGGACTCTAAGTTGTTATTTCATAATTATAGGGTTTTCAGTATCAAAAACTGCTTTATCTGTTTTGCTGTGCGACTGAGTTCATTGTCCTGCATGAAAATTGCTGGCTGACTGAGTCATGAATGCAGAGAAGGAACTGAATGTTGCTGAAGGAGCTTCTAAAAACATTTGTACTCACTTTGCCATGTAGTTCTAGGAAAACTGCTGCAAAAAAAAAACATCAAATCATGACCTTTCATCTCCATCTTTACTGACTTTTACACACACTTTCGGTTCAGTCTTTCCCCAATTAGATTCTCATAATGTTTCCCATCAGATGCAAATAAAATAAACTTGTTTTCATCACTAGCTATTTTTCCATCCACCTATTTTTATGTGCATTTTGGATATGCGCATAAAAAAATGGTTGATGAAAACACCAAGATGTGCATAAAGTTTGACAACTACGATGGAAACACTTTTACCGAACTAATTCCAGTATGCACATTTAAAAAAAAATGTCATGTGATTTTGTTTTTATCATTTAATGATAAAAATGTGTGAATGGGCAAATCAGCAGGCTGAGCGCACTTTAAAACATCTGAAATGTTGGTTTGGTCATTCTAAAATGCTGTAACCATTTCAGTATTAGTGTTATTATATTATTAATTACTTTCAGAACTGTCAAGAGTTTCTGCGCTCTGTGTCTCATGGCTTTAAATACCACCATGCATTCATTGCGTGTCGGCATTTGTCTTCTGAGGTGCAAGACATTTATTAAATAAAAAAAGATCGACGCAGCTTCTCCTACCGCAGCAAATTCCATTTTTACTTTTGATATTTAGGGGTAGTTGATCAGGAAGTGAAGATTTTGTTCTCTTTTACTCGTTGGATGGAAACGCTGCTTTATTCGCACTTGTTGAACGTGATATGTTTTACATTTAGATATGCTTGGCGTTAATAGCAGGTTTGACATGCTGTCCCGGGAGAGAACCCTGAGCCTGAAGATAATTGAGCCCAAGGCTCCCACCTGGTCAATAAGCATATAAAGGGGTCTGAGATCAGGTTGGTCTTGAGAACTCCCCCTGGAAAAGGGAGGAAAAGGAGGAGATGGGGTGGAAGGTGCGATTGTTCCAAAAACGGCGATAGGGCAGTAGAGTGAAATCTGTTTACTTATTGTAAGCTTGAATCAATCTAATTGGATTACTACTGATTACGGATGAGAAGCCAGCCATGACCAATTTTAACACAAGCTCCTCTTGAAACTAGTTTATAAAACTTCACATTGCGCATAAAATTTATTAGCATTTTTGGATATAAACATATCCACTGAAGTGAACTTTAGCTAGTCTGGCCCTTTGATAAAAGGTGGCTATAAGAGTCATTTCTTTGGCCTTCATCTGAACAACCTGCTGCTGATGGGCTTCAGTCGTTTCAGAACAGTTCACTGTCTTGCAAATTCAGTGAAAACTGTAAAGTTAATATGCCAGTTAAGCTGTGGTAACGCTGCACTTTGCCACATTGACTTCCATTCATACGCAAGCACGTGCACTAAGTTTTGCTTGTTCATCATTTTGTTTTACCCCACCAGTTTTCACAGTACCATCTGACATCATTTTGCATACTCAAACTCTAGTGCAACTGTGGCTTTAGAGTTAGCATAGCTTCCAGCAAGTCTAAGCAGTGACCTTAAAGTTGAAGAAATTGTAGGTTGTTCTCTATTTTTGATCTCCAGTATACAAATAAAAATGCAGTTATTAAATAGAATGACTTGAGTTGGTGCTTAATTGGAGTCAGATCTTGACAGATCCTGTTCCGGGAAATTGTGTTTTGCGTTTCTGTATTTATTTTAATTGATCCGGCATGAACTTGTGCGTGGTGAATACCTGCGCACACAACGGTATCATCATGTGCAAGTTAAAGCAGAAGTTTTAACTACTGGCCCTCAACAAAATGTTTGAGCCAAACATCTTACTTACGCATACAATCACTCTCGTTGATTGTTTCTTGCGCAGTGAGCATCGAAAATAAATAATGGCATAGTGGCTTACCTAAGCAAAGAGGCAGTCAAGTATATGTTCATTGTTTTTAAACCCCGAGAAAATCTAATAATGAGCCTGATCAAACGAGATCTCAAAAAGATAGAACTTCGTTCACGGATCAGGATAGCAGGAGACAGAAGCAAAGCGATCTAAAGTCAGCCAGGAAACATGACAGAAGAGCTAACTGTGGGCTCTTCTTGAAGATTAGACTGAGTGAATCATTTAATTATCTTTTTTTCACTTGGAAGTTTTTAGCTACATGTTTGTTTTTTATCCATGACTGGCCCATAACTTTATATGGCACAAATTTAATTGAAATTTGATGAAAATTTTTTGACATTTTATGTTTTTTTTTTGTGCTATCTCCATTTAATGACGTCATGTTCAGTAAAGACTGAAATTGTGTGGTGAACGTTGAGCACGGTAACTTTTCTTTCCCGCTTTTGTTCCGGAAAGTATTCATTTGCAAATTAAGCACTGACTTGAGTACTTATGATGAACAATTTTTCCATCTCAGATTTCAAGTTAACATGGGTTCTTGTTTTCCTCCTGCCTCCAGGAACATGCCTTTGAGAGCAGCCAGAAGTACAAGGAGGGCAAGTTCATTATCGAGCTCGCCCACATGATCAAGGACAATGGCTGGGACTGAGCGAGCGTCCTGGAGAGAGCAAACCTATGACGGGTGGATGGTGAATGTGTGGGTGAATGACTGACTTTGGTTTGCCATTACCCTCTTAAACCTTCTTTTACCCTCCATCTCCTGCTGACACACACACACACACACACACACACACACCCCTTGCCTGACCAGAAACAGGAAAAGGGGACGCCCTAAGGGGCTTTGTGTGTCTGGAGGAGAGCGTGAGCATGTGTGTGTGTGGATGTGTGTGTCCGCCCGGCACATGGGAGCACACTGAGATACATGAATGCATACACAAGGTGTACAGACATACGTGTGTAAAAACAACAGTATACCGCATGTCATGCTCATCTCAGCCAGACTGTTTATACTACAAGCGGCTCTATTCATATGCGTACATGACATAAGGCAGGGCTCAGAGGGAATGTGGTGCTTGGCAGGATCAGGGTCACGAGTTCTCCGAGCTGATGGGGCTTTCTCCACTTTATGTCAGTGAGAAACTACCAGGCTGACCTCTGCCAATTCAGCTGAGGTTAGCACCATCTGCGCCCGTGAGGAGGCCTGGCATGAAGAGATCTCTGAATGGAGCTCTGACAGACCAATAGTGATGGGTTGTTCTTGAATGATTTGTTCATTTTGTATGACTCGTGAACGATGAGTCCTCTGAGGGAGTGATTCGTTCATTGTGCAGGTGGAGTATAAGATTAGTTCCTTCTTTGAGTCTTCTATCGGGTTTGAGTCGTTTGTTCATTATGTGAAAGACAGAAGCCAGTCATGCATTTAGAACCGGAAAAAGATTTGATCTGTTCATCTCTCGAGTCCTTGGTTTGAGTCGTTCGTTCATCGAGTAAAAGACAGAAGCCAAACATACTGTATGCATTTAGAGCAGGAAAAAGATTAATTTCTCGAGTCCTCGGTTTGAGTCGTTCTTTTATCACGTAAAAGACAGAAGCAGTCATGTGCATTTAAAGCTGGAAAAAGATTTGATCTGTTTCTTGAATCCTCAGTTTGAGTTGTTCTTTTATCACATGAAAAGCAGAAGCCAATCTTATCCATTTAAAGCCAGAAAAAGATTTGATCCGTTTATTTCTTGAGTTCTCAGTTTGGGTCATTCATTCATCACGTGAAAGACAGAAGCCAATCATGTGCATTCAGAGCTTTGATCTGTTTTAAAAGATTTGATCGAATTTTGTTTCTCGAATCCTGGCTTCGAGTCATTCGTTCATCAAATAAAAGACAGAAGCCAGTCATATGCGTTTAGAGATGCAAAAAGATTTGATCCGTTTATCTTTCGAGTCCTCGAGTTTAAATCATCGCACTTTACATGAAGTCACGTGATAAATCAACGACTCAAAATCCTGTAGACTCGAAAAGTGAACTAATCACGGCTCCTTTCAGCTAAGACTGTGTGCTTTGGTTAAGCTTATATGGGTCCGTTAGGCTGCATTTACACTGCGTGGTTCAAGTGACTGGATTCCAATTTTTTTTTCCTCCCACATCTGATGTGGCACAGATCGGTTATGGCCCATGGATGTTCAAGCAGGAAAAAATCAGATTGATTCCGATTTACTCAGGCCTTGTTCATATGTGGAAATTTATTTGTTATGAATCGGATCTGTGCTGTCGTGTCTGCAGTGTAAACAGGCAGATTGGATTTTCACCTGCCAATGCGAGTCGAACGTCGTTTAAAACCATATCGAATGACGAACTCTGAAGCTTTAATTTCAGAACAGACTTCAGCAGAGTCCTAAACCTTAAATCTCGTACACGAGGACTAAAAAAGCTTTTATATTGTCATGTAGCACAAGTGTTTAAGCATGTTAAGGAGATAGAGAGAAAGCGAGAGAGTAACATCCGCTACGTAACCAATATAAACTTATAAAACTTTGGCATACGTCACATGCATAAATCGTGCCATGGACATTACATTAAGATGCCTACTGGTTTAAAAATGTCTTATAGATTAATAGAAGATGGCAAATCGAGAAATTTTCTGTCATAATCTAAAGTAAAACAACTAGTCAAAAAGAATAATAAAAATATATGAACAGATTAAAAAAAGGAATGGAAAATAAAGCGCTCTATTATTATCAGCTGTCAGTCAGCGCCCGCTCTTTTTTTTTTTCCTCGTCATTGCGCCTTTTCTGTGTGGTGTGTAAATACAGGCAATCGGATACAAGCGACTTTTAAAAGATGATGCAAGGAAGTCAATCGTATACAGTCACAAAATTGACCATCAAGATCTGCAGTGTAAATGCAGCCTTCGTGTGACATGAACGAACTACTCAAAAATAATCTGACATAATCATAGACAGAAGACCAGGTAAACAATAAATGATTATTTTCTCATTCTTATAGCATTCTAGTTATGACTTGTTTGTAGTGTGAGCAACGTTTGGTGTAGTAGTAGATGAGTTTGTAAGCAACTATTTTGCCAAATTGAAAGAAATGACTCGAAAAAAGATTCATTCTTGATGAACGATCTCAATGAACGAGACTCAAAGGTCCGAGTCAGTAAAATGATCTGAACTTCCCATCACTACAGACCAACATGAGAAGCCTAGAGGAGTAGTTCACTCAAAAATGAAAATTTTGTCCATTTTTATCAATCTGGTGGTGTTATTGTACTGGGTTCAACGCTAAGAATTTTTTCTACTGGTCCGATCGGGCCAATGATTCAGATTTTTACTTGCCCCACCAAAAAAAAAAAAGAGAGTGAGAGAAGTTAGTAGCTATTTTTAGTCACATATATAAAATAATGTGTCAAAATTAATGTCAGTGAATCTAGTGAAATATTTAAAATATCTTAATAAACGTATAATGAGCAAAATTCAAAGTGTTATGCAAACAAAAAGAGCAGTTTGGAAAATGTGCAGGTATTTTATCGCAGTTTGTAATTATTTAACAAAAGGTGGTTGACTTGCCAAACTGACGGCAAATTGAGCAAAACATCAGTTCATTTTTTTTGTTGTGTTGTTACCATGTAAATGTCTGCTTCCAAAATGTTAGAAACACATTTTTTTGTTCACCTTTATAATTTGATGTTGCCGTCACTTCACAGGACTGGTTACCAGGTTACGGGGAAAAAATAGCATGCTCAAAACATTAAATCAGTTTAGAGAAAACGAAAAGCAATATGGTGTTTACGACATCACAGAAAATGTACATTAAAGACTTAAAAGAACAAACTTAAAAAGCATGCAATTGACAAATAGTTGCAGGCAAATGAAACTTTAGTGACAAGGCAGCATTGGCCCGATCAGGCCAGTATTGATCCTGTCTACTGTCCCAAGCGTCTCTCGCGCTGGCCTCGGGCCATTGGCCAGTCCTTATTGTTGAGCCCTGTTGTAGGACAGTTTTTCACACTAGTCCATATAATGGTAATATTCCGCAACCAGTATTAAGGTTTCAAAAAGATGCAAATGTATTGCAGAATGGTCACATGTGACTTAATATATTTCAAGGCCATTCTGCTTAAAATATAAGCCATGTGTGCCAAGAGGCTATTCTTTAATACTGCTACATTCTTTTTTTAAACACATAATGCTGGCTGCTATTCAATGCCATTTACATGAACATTTTTGTGTAGAAAATATAAAGGACATACAGCATTGTGACAATGCCAACATGAGTAAATAATGAGTGAATTTGGGATTTTGACTGAACTATCACTTAAAAGGACTAGCTCACTCAAAAAGTGTCTAAAGGTGGTCACATTTAATGTTATGAGGCAAAATTTCACTGATGAAGTCCGAGTATTTTAGTAGGAATCCTTGTGTTCAGACGGCAGAATTTGTTAGTTGAAGTTTGTTTCATAAATTGACTTAATGACAAACAGAAAGAAGAAGAGAGAGTTACATTCACACTGTCAGTCCAAAACTGTGTTTGTCTGATTGGAACCTAATCTCAATGATTGACTGTTCAAGCTGTATATTGTACTTGGCCAGATCAGATTTGTGTCACTTTGCAGACTTTTGTTTTACAGATTATCTGCATTTGTTTCTAAGCAATTATAGCTAAAAACATGCAAACGGAGGGTTTTAAAATACAGATGTCTTACAACACAAAACAATTGGAAAGTTGGTGTGCATTATTATATTCCATGCTAATGACTGTCCATTGAATTCAAAGAAGAGTGAGGACCAGGTAATCTTTGCTTTGAGTAAATAATGTTGTCCCGGTGGTCTCATTGGGATTTTACTTGGACAATATGTAACTGAGAATGAGAATTACAAACTAGGGGGTTTCCAAGGTCAAAAATCTGAGATGAAATCTGCCTGCCTTGTTTGGGTGGTTTAAAACGTAAACACAGGTTTTCAAGTATCTCAGGGTTCAGATGCGAGGATAGATTGTAGCATCTCGATAGGGAGATCTGTGGGATCGTTGCAGCAGTGCAACATTTGTAGTATCAGACCTTCATGGTGAAAGGGAATCTGAGCCTGAGGCCAAAGCCCCCAAACTTCCATCCAATTTGTGTTCCGACCCTCACCTATGATTATGAGCTTTATTTGCGGCCAAAAGAACAAGATTGAAGAAAGTGGCTCAGTGGATAGCACTCACAACACTCACCTCACAGCAAGAAGGTCCCTGGTTCGAATCCTAACTGAGCCAGGAAGATTTTTTATGTGGAGTTTGCATGTTCTCTCCATGTTTGCATGGGTTTCCTTCACCTGCTCCAGTTTCCCTGACAGGTGATTTGGATCATGTAAACTGACCATAGTGTGTGTGTGAGATTGTTGCACAGGTTAGTGCACTCTCAGAGCTGGGTGCTGCAGGAACGGCATTCCCCAGTAAAACATGCCAGGGTAACTAGCATTTCATTCTGTTGTATCAACCCCTGATAAAGAAGGAAACCAGACAAAAGAAAATGAATGAGTAAGAACAAGATTGCCCATTTAAGCAACTGTTTTCTCTGCATGGGTGTCCGGACTGACCCTGTGAGGCAGGGTACGAAGCTCTGACCTTCTGAAGGAACAGAGTATCACTGCTCCTCTACATTTAAATGAGTCAGTTTAGTGGTACAGAAATCTTGTTAGGACACTTGCCTTCAGAAGAAGGTGTTTTAGCCATTTCCAACAGGAGGCCTAACATGCGAATCCAGCTGTTGCAGTAGGACTCAAGTATTCAGAATTTTGCATGAGGGCAAACAATGTCCCTCTGCTAAATTTGCTTATGTTCAAGTAGGCTGCATAAATTCACTGAACTAGCAAGCCAACTGAGCTACAGTCACACTACAGATGTAATGGTGGGTGCCCCAGTGAAAACCAGGGTCAGCACCTCCAAATCCAAAGCCCTAATTCTTAGCCAGCAAACAGTTGACTGCCTTCTTCAGATTGGCGTGATATGCTTCCCAAAATGTAGGTGTCTTGTTCATAAGTGAACACCTTCAAGAGATTCCTCAACTCCTCATGGGATCAGTTGGTGGATCATAACGACAGAAGCAGTAATGCAGTTTTCATACACTGTGGTGAAGTGTCTTCACATGTGGTCATGAGGGTTGAGTATTGACTGAAACAAAACATTGTCTATTTTAAAAGGTTGTCTGGGCTGACCCTCTGTGACGGCACCAGCTTCGGGCATCTGGAAGAAACTCAAAACTAAAGCCTTTGCTCCTCTGCATTGAAAGAGTAGGCTGAGGAGGTTCCTTGACAGCAACAAGTGGAGATGTTCACTACACTGACACGACCGAAAGCTGAAAGAGTGTTTGAGCAGACCCTGCGAGACGAAGCTCAGACATCCAGAAAGGAATCAGGGCAGAGTCACTGCTCCTCGACGATGACAGGAGCCATTTGAGGTGGTTTAAAGATCTGGATAGGATGCTTCCTAGATGTCTACCAATGGATGTGTTCTCAACATGTCCAGTTTGAAATAGACCCCAGTCTCAGAACTTGCTGGGGGGATTATATCTCCCAGCTGGTCTAGAAATTATTTGGTGTCCCCCAGGAGAAGCTGGAGGAAGTTTGCCTGGGAAGTTTAGATGTTTGATTGGTCTTAAGTAGTCTCCTGCCCCTACAACCTTGTTCTGGATAATTGGAAAATGAATGAGTGACAGGATTTTCAACAACGTACAAATAGCCTGAAACTTACATTGAAAAGAAAAGTCCCTTCACACTTGCTAAATGATTTGACCACTTGATTTGGACTGACAGTCTGAGTAGGGCTTTAGGTAACAGTTCCTGTGTGAGCATTCATTCTTTCATCCCTACACTGTTGACTGTTTTGATAGTGAAATTTGGCTGAAATAATGCTAATGTGCACCTTCAGAGGCTTAAAGTGAAGTTAACCATCAAGCTTTTCACATGAAGCAACCATCTAACTGATTTTGGATGAAACATACGCATAGTTGAATATGTGAATGTAAAGCTTTGTGTATAACCGTTTACAAGGTGTTGTATCTGGACATCTTTGTGTCTGTGTTCCATGTTCCAACAGTTTGTGCTGATCCCAGTCGCACTGTGTTCATTTGTACTGACTGTTCTTGCTCGTTAGCGGACTCTTGGGGGAATAAGTACATAAGATGAGACTGTACACTGCCTATCTGTTAGGTTCTTTAAAGTAAAACACTATTCATCATAGCTCCTCAGTACCCAAGACATGTGGAAAGACACTGCAGTGTCTCTGAAAACAAAATCACCAAAGACCCAAAGGAAAACTGTTTGTTTGAATAAAATAAGGCTTTTTGCTTGGGTGCAGAGAACGGTAGCATGTGGGATTGCGTATAGCAGAAAAACAAGCTTCACGACACAATTTAAATGATGTGGTAATATATATGTGCACTGGCATATTTATTCACCATCACTTGATTTTCATCTGTGTCAGGGATTAAACTGTTGAATTTGTTATCTGGTATCATCGTCACGCTTTATGTCTGGACACCAAAATTTACTACTTTTGTATTCCAGTAAGAACTGTTAGTGTATTTTATAAACGGATGAGGAGAGGATAATGATATTATTGGAACTCCCATCAACATTGATATAAAATGTCAATAAAACTCAAATATTGATGCATTTGCTTGATTTGTTTTCATTTTTTTTCTTCACTCAAAACATTTACGCTACTTTTACTCACCATTACAGTTTTCCAAACACGATGACTTTCTTTTGTGGAGAGGAAAGGAAGATTCCAATTCTCTCTTTTCAGCTACTCTTAGGTGAAACCATGGTCCATGGTGATCCAAAACTGCAATCAATGGCACATTAAGAGTTAAAACAAAAACAGAAAACATAGGAAAAATAAATATCTGTGGCTCCTGGTGGTCTTGTGAAGAGAAATTATCTTCAAGAAACTGAACATATATAATTTATTTACAGAATTTTTACCATTAATTCACAAGCCTTGTCAAAGCCTAGTCCCCATTTCATTATATAGAACTTAGGAGAGGAGCATGAGCATTCTTAAAAACATCTCATTTAGTCTTTTTTGCATTAATATTGATTTAAAGCAGGGATGGTCCTCAGCGATCCTGCAGGTGGGCCGTGAGATAGCTTAAAACTAACTCTCATTAGTATACTACAATTTTTGGATTTCATCATTAATATGCTTTATGAAAATGATGGAAGTAATGCACTTTCTCCAGTTCTGTGATTGATTACTTCAAACTCGGCGCACAGATAGCCTCATGATGGCGTCTGCAGCTGCACGCAAGCCTGTTCATACACAAACCAAGCGTGAAGTGAAAGTGAAAGTCTCTCTTTGTGTATTTATTGCGTGAACTATTTAATCCTGATAGTTGTGCAAATTAATGTTCTGTGGGGAGGATACAGGAGGATCTAGCGAGGCTCAGTGGTGTTTCTGCCATAGAAAGTAAAATAAACTTGCATATGAGCTTTAGACGGGCTCTGGTGGAGCTGTTTACTGTTCCTGTCAGAGATCTCCCAATAAAATCCAGCTGCAAATTCATCCGCCATTAGATCCACACGTTTCAACAGATTTAGATTTTACTGTATTTTACATTTGTCTGTATAATTATGAATAGTAGATTCTTATTAATAAATTCAGTCAGTCTAGTTTAAATCAGAAGCTGTTCTTCTCGCTGTTGACCTGTGGTTCTCTTTGAATCAGTGTATGTTTAAAAAATTATGTATATGTATAGTTCTATTTTATATATAATAAATTTAATAAAAAATTATATATATTTTAAATTTTTTCTTCTATTACTTTCTATTACCAACATTTTATAAGAAAAAAAAAAAAATATATATATATATATATATATATATATATATATATATATATATATATATATATATATATATATAACATTTTATTTAAATATATAAAAATAAATATTAGTAATAATAGTAAAAATCTATATGTTAATAAATAAAGGTTTAAATGAGCATTTCATACAAACACTTCAAAGAAAATATCAGACAGGGCCTTCAAAAATGGATCAGCGTAAGTGGGCCCCGAAGTGAAAAAGGTTGAGAACCCCTGATTTAAAGTAATATAAAAGTGCAATGAATGAACGTTTAGTTTGTTTTTTTTGAATATGTATCCATTGTACAGAAAAGAAGAGGAAAGTCCTTACCCCAGGTGGAGGAGTTCAAGTATCTTGAGGTTTTGTTCACGAGTGAGGGAAGGATGGAGTTGTGCTAAAGAAGGAGCTGAGCTGAAAGGCAAAGCTCTCGATTTACCGGTCAATCTAAATTCCTACTTTCACCTATGGTCATGAGCTTTGGGTCATGATCGAAAGGACAATATCAGATACAAGCGGCCAAAATGAGTTTCCTTTAAAGGGTGGCAGCATCCTTATGGATAGGGTGAGGAGCTCTGTCACCCGGGAGGAGCTAGGTAGTAGAGCCACTGCTCCTCCACATTGAGAGAAGTCAGCTGAGGTGGCTTGGGCATCTGTTTCAGATGCCTCCTGGATACCTTTGTAGGGAGGTGTTCCAAGCATGTCCCACTGGGAGGAAGCCTCAGAGTAGACCCAGGACCTGAAATCGCATACTTCCATACTAAATAGTACGCTAAAATCAGCATGTAGAATGTTCAAATTCCGGCGAGATTCTAAAGTGCACATCGGATGGACGCTAAGCTATCCCATGATTCCCCACAAGAGAATTTATGAATGCGAGTGATGCGATGCAACTGATGTGGGTAGATCACGTGATCTTGACAAAATGGTGGATGTAGTACGTCCGAGTTTCATTCATACTATAGAATGTACTTTCCTAACGTCCAAGTGGTACGTTTAAATTCAAATGCAGCACCTACTGTGTAGTAGGCGATTTCAGACGCAGCCATGAATTTATACATGCTACTCGGCTCACATACTGTTTTTAGCATGCTATATAGTATGGAAGTATGTGATTTTGGACGCAGCCTATGTCTTGTGGCTAGCCTGGGAACACCTCAGGATCTCCCTGGAGGAGCTGGAGGAAGTGTCTGGGGAGAGGGAAGTCTGGGGTTCTCTCTTAAGACTGCTTCTCCCGCGACCCGGCCCCATAAAAGCAGATGAAAATGAATGGATGTATAGAAAAGAGCAGCTTGAACATTTTGCAAAATGTCTCCTTTTTCATTTCACTGAAACAATGATTGTTTTAAAATGACACTCCTAAAAATAAAATGTCTGCATATTAGTTCTGCATATAGAAACTTTGATTTAAACTTTAATAAAAGGTTCTTATAGGTTATACGTTTTTTTTTTTTTTTTTATGTTCATAAATGGTCCTTTAAAGAACTATTCACTAAAAATTGTATAAAAATTCTTCTTCTGTAATCTTAAGTATAATGTAGTGCAAGTAATTGAAGTGAATAATTTTCATTTCGGGTGAAATAAGGTCATGTTTTGTCTATAAAATTGAAAGATTACTTAAAAACTCAACCTCTGCCTGATCACCATCTCCACTCCAGTCCTGCATCCAGCACCACAGATAGGGTAAAAAATCCAGATGTGGTCTCGCTCCAGCAACAAGAGCATTATTTCAATATGGAGGAGTCTAAAATACAAGATGGTGGCTGTTGTTGCAGGGAGTGTGCCAGGCTTTCAGCTGCCCTCCGTCTCCTCTTCACACACACACAGATGGTTCAGTGTCTGCACTTGGGGCCGCGTCTCCTAGCAACCGTCTCTCCCTCTCTCTCTCTCCTGAAGTTGCGGAGGAGGCTGTGCAAGGCCTGGTGTCATTCAGTGTCTGGACCCGCCGTTTATCTCACACTGGGGTTGTTTAAGGTCTATCAGGGGTCTGGGTGCTGCTCTGGTGAGTGTGTGGGCGAATAATATCACCTACAGTTGATTACACAGCTCTCTGCTCCTCCATGGGTGAGCTGTAGACAGAAGCTGCACAGAAAAGCACATACAGAGCGGTTATGTACACTGGTTGCTCTGTTCCGAGTCCTCACGCGACCTTCTGCTTGAGTGAGATTAGACTTAACACGCATCGTGTTTTGCTGTTAATGATTATATAAAGCAAGGAAGTTATGATATGGCAAGCGATGTCAGTCATGTAAAACCCAACAGTCCACTTTATCAAATGAAATGAGTGTAGTTAACTTAAAATTGACTGAAAGTTCATTCTACTCATTTGAAGAGTTTTGAACTCAGTGTTGAAGGTAATGAGTTAATTAAATAGCTCATTACTTCAACGTAAATGGATTAAGTTCACAGTACTCATATGGATTAGTTTAACTCAAATGGTTTGTAGCAATTGGTTTCCTCAAGTGGTTTGAGATACCTTAATCTTTTGGGTTTTACAGTGTGGTGATTGTGGATTTTTTTTAATGAATGGCAAGCAACAGAACTATTTACACTGAAACAAAAAAAGATTACTGAAAGAGACTGAATTTAAGCAAACAAATTCAGTTGAACGTTACTAAATTAATTTAGTTTGTTTAAGCCCATATAAATTGTTTGAGTTACCTCAAAACACTTAGTAAATCTAAATAATCTTTTTTGTTTCAGTGTAAAAAAAACAAAAACAAAGGCTGCGTCTGAAATCACATGATTCCATACTATAGTATGCTACAAACAGTATGCGAGCTGAGTAGCATGTACAAACTCATGGCTGCGTCCAAAGTCACCTACTACTACTTAGTAGGTAGTGGATTTGAATTTAAATGTATTTCTTGGCTGATAGGAATGTGTGTTCTATATAGTATGGATGTCAGTCGCATGAATGAAACTCAGACATGCTACATCTGCCATTTTGTCTTGATCACGTGACCTACCCGCATCAGTTGCGCCGCTTCACTTCCATTCATGAATTCTCTTGCGGGGCATCATGGGTTAGCGTGGCGTCCATCTGATGCACTTCATAATCTCGCCGGAAGTAGTACAGTATGTCATCCGGGTACTTCTCGCATACTGATTTTCGAATTTTATGATTTCAGACTTGGCTCGCATACTATTTTTTGTGTACTATATAGTATGAAAGTATTCGATTTCGGACGGAGTCATAAAATTCGCAAAACAGTATGCGAGAAGTGTACTCAGATGACCTACTACTTCCAGTGAGATTCTGAAGTGTGTTTCCAATAGACGCTACAGTATCCCATGATGCTTTGCAAGATAATTCATGAATGGGAGTGAAGCTACATAGGGTCAGTCACGAGGGTCAGTCACGTGAGATCATGACAAAATGGAGAATGTACTGTAGTATGTCCACGCTCCATTCATACTACTCACATTCATACTATACAGAATTGACTTTTTTAACAGTCAAGTAGTAAATTCAAATGCATTACCTATTTAGTAGGCGATTTCGGACGCAGCCGAAGTTCTTGAGCACTGGATTTTTTAAAAAGTCTGTTATTTCGATGACGTTGTAAATGAGCAAGTGCAAAAGAAAAAACAGTACACTCACAGTTGCTTTGGCACAATTTATGATGTGTTCCAAATGAGATACATCGCTCTCTGAATTGCACTTTGAAGTCAAATTGCCACTATATTGAAACGCCGTTCCAAACTGAAACTGAAGTCCTCAAATCTGTCCACTTCTGGAATGAAGAACTTCGAAGTGTTCAACCGATGGACACTTTGAGCCAAATGATCCTTTGCACAGGGAAGTTG